TCGGGGATGTACTGGCGAGCTGTTAGTCGTCATCCCTGAAGGACTTTTTAGGACAGCTGACTTTACGGATAGGGGATGTACTGGCTAGCTGTTAGTCGTAATCCCTGAAGGACTTTTTAGGACAGCTGACTTTACGGATATGGGATGTAATGGCTGGACGTTAGTCGTCATCCCTGAAGGACTGAGGAACTTTTTTTTTCTTTACATACGAGTGACCAACCAGAGACAAACCGTCGGCCCAAAGAGCCAAGGCAGGTATGACACTGGCCACGTATCCGGTTTCTTTTTCTTGTAGTGCTCCGCGGTAATAGCGCGACAAAGTCGGGTCACCTCGCTGGTTCCTGGCCAGCCTCTACACAACGCTGTACTCCTCTTATATAAAATAAAGAAATTTAAGATCATCCCCGAAGGTCCAGAATATTTCATTTTAAATAAATTGTCTTGCAACGAACCTTGGAGTGGCTGAGTTTCTACCCTGCCCAAGAAGACTCGTTACACAGTTTACAAGATTACATATTTAAATTTTATGCATTCAACGAACAAAAGTCAATGCACAATAAGAGTGAACTCAGCTAAATCCTAAATTCTTACGAGAAATCCGTATTCTTGGCAAAAGAGATTTAAAAAAAATTTATGATTACACTTTTAACAAATAAATAAACCGCCGTAGAGTTTTATCCAGATTTCTTTATCGTTACCTAGGAAAACACCTAGGTCGTTATTTTGATTGAAGATATATTTTGCCTTTTTCACAAAGGGAGGCCAGAAATTATATCACTTTTGGAGATGTCCTTTTTTCTGTCTTTATTTAATGCTACTTTGATTTTTTTTCTTTCTCAAATAAATCAATGTTTCAAATTTTTGTTTCCTTTTTTTTAATTAAATTTGCAAAATGTCACAAAAGTTTCTATTCAAATAAGGCAAATTGAAATAAGAGAATCTCCCTTCTCAGATCCACCTTTTTTTTCTTTTTTTCTCAAAACGTCGCCTATCTTCACTCCCTCAGATGAATTCTACTCAAATCTTTACAATCTCCAGCTCGATTTGAATAATATATAAGCTGGTCAGTAATTAAAAGAATATGTTGGAATTAAAAAAGCTACAAGAAATTACATTTGCCTTGAGTAAACTTGCTCCTACTTCGAATTTAATTAATAATTAGGATTGAGCTCCAACGACTTAGAAATTCTCCATGACATTAAACTTATACTTAAGTCGATGAGAAAAACTAAGTTCCTCCCAGGTTTCATTAAAATATGATCTAAAAAAGTCTCCAAAATTTATATATTTTTGTGGTTAGACTAATCCTGGAATAGTCAGTCAAACTCCATTTATACCTTTCACTGGGACGCTTCGACGTCATTTTCTCCTTAGTGGAGTGTACTGATTTACGATGTATTCAGAAAATCTGAAATGCTGCTGCTGCTGCTGCTACTGCTACTACCGCCAACACACAGTGAAAAATGGAAATGCAAAAAAAATTCTCTCTTTTAAATCCTTTTTTTTTTGTTAGTTTTTTGGTGTAGGTTTTCAGTTGCTTGGTGTAGGAATTTTGGGTGTAGTATTTCTTGGTGTAGGTTTTCAGTTGCTTGGTGTAGGAATTTTGGGTGTAGGTTTTTAGTTTTTTAGTGTAGGATTTCTTCTTTGTTAAGTTTTTGGAGTAGGGTTTCTTGGTGTAGGTTTTCAATTTTTTGGTGTAGGATTTGTTGGTGTAGCTGATATTTCTCGACTACGATGCGGCGTCGGCGTTAACGGGTAAAGTTACCGGCTCGACGACTGTCGTATAGGTGCGTAAAGATGGCAATTTAAAGCAAGGAACTAAAAATCGAAAAAGTTAATTTTTTGTTTTTATTGCGGAGTATAGAGTATGTGCATGCAGAAAGCAATTTTTTCTTTCCAGCATGTTTGAGCGTTCAAACGCACATCAATTTAACGAGCAGTTAGTGTTACATGTCCGCTTACTCAGCTATATTTTTATAAGCATAAAGTTATCCCGGAGTTCCTAGCTTTCTTTGCATGGGTATATATCATGAATTTGCCTGTTTGTTTAGTAGTTGTAAAATGCAACAACAAAAACAATACAAATAAATGATGTTCATGTTATAGGACGTGATATAAATGAAAAAGTGATGTTTTTAAAATGCACTGTATTAATAGTTTTTCATCCAAATTGAACTGTAACAACTTGTTATTCAATATCAAAATATCTTAAACCATACATTCATCAGAATATTATTCAAAGGACGGATATATTTATTCTTAGAGAGGACGGGTAACGATTGTCTTATGTTCTCTGAGGAGGTTACATCTATTTAAACAATTTGTTACGCATTCCTAAGTTTTAAAAATTGTGTTGGGATATTAATATCATTTTTAGGTAATTGTAAAAATTTTTTTAAATTAAATATTCAGTGAGATGTCTTCATATTTTTACCAATTTTTCATTCATCGAATGAATTCGATTTGTTTTTTTTTTTTTTAATTAAAGCGAATAATTTCGTTGTTGTGTGCGTTTATACAAAAATCGAAAAAAAAATTATTTAATAGATCCCCTTCAATTGTAAAAATAAACGCTTAACTAAAGTGCTTTAGCATAATTTTCGTAAATTACAAAATTATTTATTGCTTGTTTTTTGCTGGCTGCCCTTGAATTCGATTAAGAAGCTATCGACTCTTGCTTTAGCCTTAGGAGAAAAACGTACCCGATCAGAAATAATTCCATTTTTGACTGAAACGTTTTACGAAGAAAACAAGGTGCTGCTTGCCTTAGCCGATCATTTGGGGAATTTTACAAGTAAATATCTTAGGGAATTTTTTTAATTTACCGTTGTTCGTTGTAAATGAACGTTGCTTTTAGGTTTGGTAGGACCCGATTATGCCATGTATATGATTCCACCATTGGAGACCTTGCCAACCGTTGAGAAGACGGTGGTGCGTGATAAAGCTGTAGAGTCATTGCGTATAGTCGCAGCTGAGCATAGCGCCCAGGATTTTGAAATTCATGTGGTGCCAACTTTGCAACGTCTCGTGTTGGGTGATTCACTTCATGAACTTCGGCATTTGGACTCTTGGAGAGAGTCACGGAGTAAACCAGTAAAAGCAGAGCTTCGTGGCAATTTTCGTAAA